TCTCCTGTTTTATTGTTGGTTTCCTCTTTTCTGATCATTTGGAATGAGGATAATAATAAAAAAACGCAAATAAGTTCAAACATCAATTCAATATCTACTATTTCCTGAATATTATGAAATTCAAGATGGCCGCCCCTGATGATGTCATATGCAAATTAGACCAGTATATTTACACCCCACCTAAACTTTCGGTCATGCCCAACATTTTTCTAATTTACAGTAGATCTCTATCTTTAAGCCCTTTCAAGCCACAAGCTTTTGAAATCTTGATGTCAAAATCCAGCATTTTTCCAAAAATCCCTGGGGCCTAAAGGGTTAAATCATAAATAAATAAATTGATATTGTGACGAGCTGCCACAAATAACTCAATGTATAGGAAACACTGGACACTGCTATAAGTCAAATGGCCATAGTGATAACAAAAATAAAAGATTTCACACACATTACACAACCCACAAACCCATTTCATGAGGAAAGTTAACATGCACGTTATAATCAGCCCAGAAGTTTCGTCTGAATTGAACGTGTTTCTACTTTCACATGCAAATGACTTGTTGCACTTATGAATATGATAACTTTCCGGCATCAATTCTAGTAGGGTAAAACGTAATTCCGCTTTCGAAACGGTCTGTTTTGCCTTGCCATTAGCTGAAGCTGTGTGTGAACAAGCCGCGCCTGCAGAGTGTGAGCTGCTCCATCTCACGCAGCCTCGGAGGGAGTTCCGCAACAACGCTTAGCTGCCCGCCGGTGCGCCTGTCTATAAATCGGCCTAATTTGCAGCACAATCAGCCGATGCCGATTAATTAAAAAATGCCAAAAATCGGCCGGCTGATCAATTGGTTGACCTCTATTCAAAATAAATAAATAAATGTTATAATATTATATAAAGACTACTAAAATAGTGTTTTAGTAAAGTTTGACATCCTATTTTTAAACTCACCTGTTTACATTCATTATTACATGATAAATGTGATCGTTCAAAAGTACATAGATGCAAACACCTCACCTTTCAGTGACAACTCACCTTTTTGAAAATAGATCAAAGCAAATGTCTTCAAAAGAAATTCCGTGTGGAGCATGCCCCCGATCCGCGCAATGTTCTCACCTTTTTTAGCAGGCAAATCAGCTAGTGGTATGCAAAGCCAGTCGGCTAATCTGTTAGCTTGTGAACTAACTACAAAAGCATTTAATTTTACCAGTTATAGCTTTTCTTTATAGAATATGAAATGGATATTCATTCAGTATTTTTTCTAAAAGCATCTTAATTATCATATTGTGAATGATTTATCAATGATAAATTCAATTATTTTTTATTTATTTACTTTTTTGAGTTGGTAATTTTTATTAAAATGCCATTGATCTTTTGAAAAGTATAGGCTTTTTTCTTGTGACGTATGCAAGCTGCATGGCTTCACTTTTAAGCTGTGAATGCAGTAAATAGCTGCTAAACTGGCATGAAGAAAGTACAACCTTTTCTTTTGAATCTTTTTGCACACACTCCTCTTTCATCCTGCCCTCACATGCTCCATATTTTGCTCGTAAGCATGTGACTACATGCAACATGTGCCAGTAACACTGCTTTTTGCATCCTTATAAATCAGAAGCTCCCATGATTCTTCTCTGTCAGGCAGTTTATGCGTGATATAGAGGTCAGACCCTCTGCTGGATTAGTCCAGTGACTGGTGCCCAGACTCAAAGCTTAACCTCCATGCCAACATGAGCATGTTTTAGGGTCACTGGAGCAGGTCAGCATGAAGCAAAGACAGTTTTCATGTTTCCAGAGCTTGGGTGTGGTGTTAATTCGCCAGGAAAGGAGAACTGAAGCACATGGAGTTAAAACTGATGTTAGTTAAATGTGCTTCTCATCTGTTATCTGTTTGTGAGAGAATTAAAAAAAACATCCCCAGGCACCACAAGCACTAAAGATCTTAAAAGGCTTTAGTCAGCGTTAGTGGTCGACTGAAATTGGTTTTTTGACAGCCGATGCCGATATCTTGGAAAGCAGGGTGACCGATGGCCGATATAAAGCCGATATAATTGTATTTATTTTAATTAATATTTAAGAAATTTGAAATCATTTGAAAAATTATTTAAAAAATAAATGTGTTAAATAAACATACTTTAGATTACAGTATTTTTCACAAATAAATAAATACTTAATAAAAAAATATAATAAAAAAAAAGGAAGTAAACATTGTAACCAACAGGGCACTCAGTATTCTGGG